CGGTCAGTTGGGTGGATGGTACAGAGAAAACCTAGCAAGTGCTTTTAAAAGAGTTTTAAAAAACCTTCTGTATCAGAAATATTTGTGTAGGAAAATGAACCAAAATATTCCCTGTAACAATAACCGGTAAAAGTTGTCAGCTGTTGATCTCAGTTCCTTTCAGAAGGCATGAGCACTCTTCCCAGTAAACGAACAAACTCACATGGATTTTTGCCAGCAGGAAATGTGATTTGCAAATTGCAGAAACATGGCTGTGCCATTGCAAAATTTACATAAGCTGTGATTTAAATTAAACAGACCTAGAATTGATACTGTGTATGGGTTTTTACCTTACTTAATAAAAGCTTCCTACCATCTGTACTGTGCTGAATTAGTAACCTTGACTCTTGCTGGCCAGTGTTCCCATCAGTCATTCCAAAACCTTTCTAGTTGCAGCCTCATTTATAGTTTTGTTAGACATTAAATATTAACATACAGGGTCCCAATGCTGTCATAAATACTGGACACAGTTGATTCTGTGTTGGGCTTCTGTCTCCTGTTTTGGGAATTGATAGATTAAGGAGTAAGTACTTACAGTTTAAGCAGCAGAGCAGTCTGCAGTGGCAAACAAACAGACAGACAGTGATAGAATCAAGTAACAGCCCCATCTGTTTGTGTGTGCTAACGTTCTGGCCCAGGCCTCAACACAAAGTCAGCCCTGGGAGTGCTGCTCAGACGCTGTGACTCGAGGCAGTCACCCCCGTTAGCTCGACAAACGCAGCAGAGCTGCTCCCTACTGAATACACCAAACAGACCCATTTTCTGGGAGGCCCTGGGATCCCCCTCAGTACACAGCATGCCAGGAGCACAAACACATAGAGTGAGACACTGACAAGGAGGAGTGGGCAGGGAGTTGTGTTTTCATTATAAGCTTTGTGTCTAGTTTCTTGCTTTCCTTGATCTGTACATGTGGGATGTAAGCTCCCTGAGATGCTCTTTCTAAAAATTGGTATTTCAAATGAGAACATTTTGTATTGGTTTTTAATGCAGTTCTTACAAAAAGTGCAGTGAAATATTTTTTTGAGTTTGATACCATTAAATATTGGATAACTGATCTTTTTGTTAAATAAAATATTGATCAACTATTAAAATTTCTTTTCTTTTGCTGGAGTTTTGGTGGGTTGGGACCAGGAGTTGAAGCAGATGCTCTTCCTGCAGCTCTTTTCTCTTGTACACAGCAGGCTTACCCTGAATATGTTGAATACTGCCATTAATGTTCAGAAAAAATATTTAAAACTATGATTAATGGATGATTTTATACCAGATGTAGAAGTTGTGGCTATCAGGGACAGGCACTTCCATTCCCAAGTTTGGGTCCAGAATGGCTCCTTACCATCTTGTGGAAGCAGCTCTCTCAGCAGACTGTTTTTCCTTTTTGCTTTACTTGCAAGCAGGTTGCTCACTTTTTGTTGTGGTTCAGATGCAGTCCCTTCTGTGTGCTGACAAAGCTGAGAGAAGGAGTGGGAAGCAAGTTGTGATTGGAGTACTGCCAGAAGCAGAATTCAATGTGGAAACAGCTCCTCACTCTGTTCTCATATGTGCCCCCAAAAAACCAAGTCTGTCTTGTGGATATCCCCCCTCCTTGTGCGGGGATGGAATTCTCTGTTCTTTAAGGTCCCTTCCAACCCAAAATACTCTGTGGTGTCCTGAATTGTTTTGTCTCAGAAAACCTTAGTGAATGAACCCCATTTCTTCTGCACAGAGGAACATTCAAGATGGATCCCAGGAGATGGGCTGAAGAGTTCCTGGTAAACCAGGATAACAGAGTTGTCCTTCAGGGCAGATGCAGGAGAAAGAGCAGCACTGAACTGTTGTCAGTTGGTGATCCCAAAAATTGCTGTGCTGGTTTTTTTGGAAGTGCTTGTCAGTGATGGGATAGCAGGGATGACTTTTCCAGTGCCTCTGGCTAGGGTAAGTACATCTGAAATTCTCATGCCATTGCTCCTTGGGCAAACATGGCTCATGATTCATCTAAAGATGTTTTTCCTTCAAGAGGAAGTCTTTGTTGCCTCCTCACCTCATCCCTCCAAGCCTGCAGGTTGCCCTTTTAGAAATAAGAATGCAGCTTTGGGGAAAATCAGAGACTATATGGAAAAACTTGCTATGAAATAATGGTGGGCATTGCCCTGACAAAGCCAACAGAGGCCAGGTCTGCCTGGCTGTTTTAGGCTAAAGTGCTTAAAATCCAGACTTTCTGCTCACTAGTATAGATCCAGTCGTTTTCCTTTCTTTTGGCATCTATTGGCTACTCCCTTGAAGGAAAGCTTGGGGCCACCTTCTGGTTTGTCAAAGTGTAAAATATTTTGTTAAGGAGAAACTAGCTATTTAGAATTAATCAAGCTGTCTATTTACAATTCATCTATTTAGTAGCATTTTGTTGTTAGTATTTAGAATTTGCCTATGTAGAATTTATCTATTAGTATCTGCTATCTCCTAGTATTTAGAACTTAGCTATTTAGAATTATCTACAGAATCTCTCTATTTTGGATTTATTTATTTATAGAACTCGTATCTAGATAGTTTTTTACCATACCTAACTGTGATTACTTTATAAAAATAGATGGTGGCTCTCAAGGGTCATTAAGCACCAGATGTAACTGGGCTCAGCTAGCGAGGGGCTCTCCAGAACTCAGGCTGTTTCTGCTCCTCTAATGAAACAGGCAGCTGCTATTCTCAGAGCTGGCAGCTGACTGCTGTTAGGAAAGAAGGTGCTGGCAGCCAGGGTTGGCAATTGGTGACTGAATTGTCAGGGGCTCAGTGGAAAAGAAAAGCAACAGGGGTGCAGACCCAGAAAAACCCAGGTATTTATGAATAGCTTTTTCTGTGTGATTTTTGTGTCCGAATTTGATAGCAATGCTTTCTGCTGTGTAACTCCACCTGGTGCAAATATAACAGACATTATACTTCAGTCAGAATTTGCAGTTGTTAAACTTCAATATTATGTTTTTTATTGTGGAAAAAATATTTGGATTTTCCTTAAAACTTGAAAATGAAACATTTATCTAGTATGGGGTGCAAGTTTGTAGCTCAGTACAGCACTATCAGTGTTTGACAGTGGGAGGACATTTGAGCTGGCTGCAACACCCGCTAAGAGGAGGATTCATTTTCAGCTAAATAAAGGTCCTAAATACTTGACCTTGGACATGTACTACAGACAGAAGAGATATTGTGAGTAGAGGAAGAAAAAAGTGTAACAAATCCACTTAATTTTGTTTATTCTTTTCTTTTAACTTTAGATATACTCTTTTGGCTATGGGAAAATAGTCTGGAAAATGCATATCTTTCTTTTCAAACTAAATCATAAATACATTTTTAGGGTTGCAAAATGCTTCTGGTTAGGAATTTTATTTGGAAAGACATACTACTCACAGTATTTCTTTCTTAAAACTGAAAGGACAATCTTGATAGCAATTGCAAGAATTAGACTGGCTGGAGAAGGACGGCTTAACCTGTAGGTGTAGAGTTAATTTTGTTTGCAGGTAATTTTGGTCATGGTTTTAGAGAGGCAACTGATAATACAAATTCTAATTTCTGTACAACAGTCTCATGATAAAACAATGGGATTTTGATAAAATGGAGTAGGATATTTAAAAATGCATCTTGTGTTTTCCCTTAATTTAATACTAAGCAAGAGTTATGGCTGGCAGTGGGATGTGAGACAATGAACAGACAATAATAATCTGTACAGCACAATGCAGGTTTTTAAAATCTGACCTCCTACTTCAGGTTGATTGCATAAGTAACTGTTTTTTCTATAAAGTTGTATGAATGGCATTTCAAGAAGTAAATTATTTGGCACGGAAATACCCCTTTTACAGCAAATGTGTTCTATCGAGTAACTGCAATGTGGCTGAATTGCTTTCAAGTCCTAGCAGAGGTTTACTGCTCTAGCAGATCCTTAACACAGGGTCTGAGACTAACAGGATTTAATGATAGGAGAAAAGTGTGCTGGAGATCTTAATTTACCTGCATCTTTGTGGAAGGGCAAGAATGCTTTTCTTTAAGTGACTGTCATTATGGATTGAACATTCATTGTCCACCTGCTTGGAGGTGAGGTTGGAAAATCTTCCTTACATAATGCTTGAAAGATGGTGGTCATCTGAAATCCTCTACCAGTTTTAGATGTACATGTAGTTAGAAAACCATCTCATTTCCTTCTGATATGGGTGGGTTCTAGGGAGGCTGAATACTAATTTCAGTAATTCAGATTAAGATTTAGTTGGAGATCTGTTTTGGTAACTGCTTTTAAAGATGCTTCCTAGTTTTTCTAGATTACTCTGCATTTGCTCTTCCATGTGGTTTTGTTTATTTGTTGAGGTTTTTTTAATTGTGGGTTGAACAAGACCTTCATCATGCTGAAGGAGTGGTGGCCTGCTTACCTGTTGAGTAAGGCTGAAGAAAAATTCTGCAGAGAGGATCAATGAGTTTATGTGTATCCTGAGACAAGTTTGATGAAAACATGGGACATTTCTGTTCTCAGAAACACTGCACAGAGAGACAGAACTGCTCCCTCCTTTTCACCAGTGCTGGGGTAATCAGGGAAATCCATTACACCTGTAGTCAGAATGCCAGAGTGTTGCTGACACATCTTGTGCTGTGAAGCTGTGACTATCAGCTACACCTTCTCTAAATTTTAGCTCTTATCTGTATTCCAAAGATAAACTGCCTGTAAATGGAAAACTTTGTCCCAGTGTAAACTTTGGTAGTTATGTCTGGTAATTAGACTCTTGCAACTGGAGGCTGGTTGAGTAAGCAGTGCATCCAAACACCTTGATGTTTTTCAGAAGGCCTTTGCCTTTTGGACTTTTATTTGGCAGCTATGACAAAAGAGCCAGCATGATTGCCTGGATTGGGTTTAAAAAAGCTTTAAACCCAAGATTCACTAACCCTACTCCCCTCCTCCCAAAACTGTAACATTAGCCCAGCCAGTGTAAGTTCTGCAGCTGTTAAATACTGTTTGCAGAGATCCCCTGGAAATGCTGCAGCATTCCCCAAATCCTTGCTGTGCCTGGGTGGTGCAGACCACATCACTGGGTGGGCAGCTCATGCTGATGCCTGTGAGGAGTCCCACAAGCCCTGCTTGTCCTGCCCATGGTGCTGAAGCTGCAGTGCAGGCACAGGGGAGGCTGTAGGGAGGCTGCTCCCTCTCTCTGTTTTGCCATGACCATCCTGCCCTTCTTCCCGCCCCGGGAAAATGGAGCTGACAGGGAGAGGCCACAGGGACTGGGCCAAACTTCACACCCAGTCCCTGTGACTGCTGCCTCAGCAGCTGGCACTGCTGCCATCAAGCTCTCCCCATCTTTTGGCTTTGGCTGACAGGCTCTTTGCAGCTGTTGCTCCCATCTCCTCCTGTCCCTGGCACTGCCAGGGTGCCTTCAGCTCTTCCAGTTTGCTGCTGCTGCCTGAGTCATGCCTCTGGAATGGCAGGCAGCCAAGGCACTATCCTCAAGGTCCTCATCTTGACTGTCCTACTGGTTTCTTCTCAAGGGTCCCACCTCTGGCCTTGTGGCTGCCCCTGTGTCAGGCCTAGGGAATTGCATGACTGTAGGTTTTGTACAAGGACATCATCCCTCAAACACTGCCTGTTCAGATGCAGGATGGAATTTCTAAAAGGTCCCTGTGCTCAGCAGTTCCCTGATGGCACAGCATTGTGCCGTGAGATTTGTGAAAGGATGATCACACTACCTCAGATTTTGCATTGAGCCTCTGCCCTGCATTCAAAATACAGGGATGAATAATTTCATTTTACTGCAGAGGATGGGGTATGGAAACGATCCTCTCTCTTCCCTTCTTGGAAAAGTTCTGGCAGCGGTGGTAACAGATGTAGAGCTGCTGATTTGGAAAAAAATGTGTCTGGTAATACCAAGTCTGAATTTTAATAACAGACCACAGGCTGTAAGGAAAGAGGCCATGTCTTGAGATGTGTTGTAATTCTGGTGGAAGAGAATGCAGATCTAAACTCTCCCACATTTTCATTACAATTCCTCAGGAACGGAAGATGGCACAGTTTCTGTTCTGTATAAAAGAAAGCAAAGGGGAACAATGATTATATTGCACATTAGGGGAGTTGTATGATTTGCCCTCTTTTATTAATGAATAGATTTAGTGCAGCCCAGACCTCACAGGAGCAGGGTCACAACATCATCTTTAACTCATCCTGCAGCAAGCTTCTGAAATTGCGGCTGTTTTAAGCTGTACTCTGTACACGATGCTGAGAGGTGCTGTAATGTGCTCAGTACAGAGGAAAAACTTTCAGAAGATTTTTTTTTTTTGTGTTAAGGGTGGTGAAACTGGCACAGGTTGCCCAGAAAGGTGGTAGATGCCCTGTCCCTGGAAACATCCAAGGTCAGGTTGGATAGGGCTCTGAGCAGCCTGGTCTAGCTCAGGATGCCCCTGCTCATTGCAGGCAGGCTGTGGACTATCAGCTTGTGAAACCATCTGTTGTTACAAAGATGAGAAAATTTATCTCAGACACACTAACTTAAAACATTCTTCCCATTTTACAGAGGATAAAGAAACAGTAAGAATAGAGAATGTTGTGCGATGATGATGCAAAAATATGAAGAAGAAACACTTTGCCTGAATTGGGTGAATAAAAGCATTTTTACTGATGAAAAATGTATGTATGAAAAACTTTTGTGTGAAATTATGTAGCATATGAGTTAAGATTCTTCAAAGTACAGCTGAGACCGAAATGTCTTTGCAAAGGCAACAAATGCACACTCTCCTTACAGAGCATTTACACCTTCAATTTTACAAAATAGCCACGTTTTCTAAATGCTGCTCTGAAATGCCTGATTAAAAAGGACAGCGAACCACAGTATCCCATCAGCAGCAGTTTATCACGTCTATAAATCCAATTTAGATCTTGTTATAACAGGAGTGTGAGACAATAAAGAACAGTGTAAGAGCAGTAAGAGGAGCTTGTTGTTGATAATTGATACAATATATATTTCATAATACCAAAATGAAGATAAAAGTTTTAAATTAAATCAAATAGTTCCGTAAATGAATAATAAACACATCTAAGATAGCACATGTGTGCTCTTCTGTCCAGTTGCCTCCTGGAAGGAATGGAGTGACTTGAGACTGCAATTTACAGGATTTTCTGTAGAATGGAGTTGGCAACTTCCAGGGATTCATCTTTCACCAAGACAATATCATAAGAGTCCATGTATTTTTCCAAAAGCTCATCTACCTAATTGCAAGAAGGAATAAAGAGAAAGACCCACTTAGTTATAGAATTAATTATTGAAAGAGTTTTTGTCATTAAAATATTGCCCAATCTTTCCACCAAATTCTCAGAATAAGCCATGTAAATAATGTATTACTCCTACAAGTGAATTCCACAGGAGGACAGAGTAGGAGTGCCCTGACCTAAAGGGCATTCCAGGATATAATAATCATGTTTATTCCAGGGTGTCACACATAGAGATACTGAAAGAAGAACTACTCCTGGAAGGGCAGGGAGAAATAAAACTACAGTTTTCTCTCTCATCAGTCCAAATGGATATTCATTATAAATTAGCAAATAATCAGTTGAATGTCACTTAAAAACCCCAAAAAGTAAAAAGAAAAGAGGAGGGACTGCCTGGATTTGTTATTTGTGAGATTATAATTTTTCTCAGTTATCAATTTAGTACTGAAAGGAGGAGAAGCCACAGGAATTTAACAGAATTAATTTTTACAGCCTCTGAATTTTACTTCTCTAGGAAACACCTATTTAGAAGTAGCTCTGTACAAAAACCAAGGCAATATATACTTGTGGCTCTGAGTTTATTAGGGTTAGGAAAAATCCATGAAAAAATGTTTGAAATGTCAACCCAAATAGGTTAAACACTTGGTTTGATATGTGAACCAGTGCTTCATTCAAAGCTTACAAGGTTATGTAAAGCTACTTACTTTATCATTGAGATAGCCAATCTTAAGAATGTGCTCAACATTTGCTACTCCATCTGCCATACTCAAGTCTCCTTGAGAATCACCCAGCAGTATGATATTGCTGTTGTCTTTTAGCTGTTTGAAGTACTCTGTGTTCTTCAAGGCACCATCATGTTTGTTGTAAACATGAATCAATTCTCCTTTAAATCCTTTTAATATTCCCTATTGAAAAAAGCAACACTGAAGTTATGTCTGGTACCATTCAGGCAGGACAGCATCTAGAATGAAAGAGGTGATGTTACTGGTGAGCCAAGACTGAACTGCAAAATCTGTCATGATGAACAAGATGAATTAGTTTAGAGTAATGTCATGGCTGTGACAGCACAGTTAGGAGCAGGCAGACAATGATTCTCCCTGCTTGGAGGAGTGTATAGATCTATCTCTCTATATATCTGTATATTTATCTATATATATCTCTATATATATATCTACCTTGTAGTGTGTATAAATAGATACTAAATACTACACACAGTGTGGTATTTATCAAACATGTTTGATAAGAATGTGTTATTTCATACGTACGTTTTCATCAAAGTCCATGAAATTGGAAACCACTTTGACATTAGAATGGTAGACCCCAGCCTGGTGGATTACTTCCTCAAGAATGTCACCAATCCCAGCAGAAAATATGAACACAGGAATATTATGTTCACTGAGCTTATCAAAGAAGTTCTCATACCCTTCTCTGCAACACAGAATGAAAATACAAATCAAATCTCAAATAAAAAAAAGCCAAGAAAAGTTCCAGTTTTTAGGAGGCAGTCACATAATCTTTGGAAAATAATTGATATTTCCTGAGCACTTTACTGCATTTCTTTTAATTCATCTTTTCAGGTCAGCAAGAACCATCAACCTAACACAAGGCATGTTTGCAAGAAACTTTTGCATCAAGCTGTTTAGTATTGGTCTGTATAATTTCTGCCCCCAAAATATCTAATCATGTTTTAAAGATTTAAAAACACTTTCCCCTCCCTAAGTACTCCAGAACAAGCAATCAGAGCTCACTCTAGCTACTTTCAGGCTGTACATCTCTTTTCAATCTTCCTTGCTTAAATATCTGACTTTCTTTAGGGTCATTACTGTAAAACAAATTTTGTCTTTAAATCTTCAAAACATTTATTTTGCTTGCTGAAAGATTTTTAGTATGCAGTATACCCTATGTATAGCATTCCAGGAACAAGATAATATTATCTCTATATGCATTCTCCATACAGACATAGATTGGTAGAATTTTACATTAAAAAAAAAATACTGTGAAAGTTCTGGAAAGAATTTTAGCTTGTGGATGAAGATTCAATCAACATGGACTTAAGCTTTCAAACAGGCAGAGACTGGGTCCTTGTCTTTTGTACAAAAAATAAGGATTCAGCCAGTTTTATAAACAAATACTTTCACAATTTAAATTCTAACATCCTGTTTCAGTATTCCAAAATTTACAGTTTTACAGATGGAAATCACAGCACGTTTTGGACAAGAATTTTGCTGTCTTTTAAACTTGCCTTGAGCCATAGAAGAACAATATTTAATACAGTATATGAAACATGTTCCTCAAGTGTTTCTCAAAGGAATTAAGCTACACTTCACATTGCTCTTAAAAAAAAAAGGATCACCAGTGCCATTTAAAGAGGATGAAAGTCTACAGAAATTAAGCTTTTAGAGAAGGGACTAAAAAAAGTTTCAGATCTCTGCTTTATACACTGAGATTATTGTCTGCATTTAGGTAGATACAACACACCAATTAAGTGGGAGCATGGAGATCTCAATGTGGTCTAAGGTTAAGGTGTCTCATTCTCAGGAAAATGTGTGGGTTTTTTAATTTCCCTTTTCTTTTTCTTTTCCTCCCCCAACACTCAGGAAGAATCTACAGAAAATGCTCTGAAACAGATTGATATAATTCAAATTAAAAAGAACTTACTTCAGCATAACATCAGATTCCCTTACAATTTCTGCAAACTTGTCCTTCTGTAAGCCTTGTTCAATGAGTAGTGCGTGGGATTTATGGTACCTAGAACATAAACAGAAAATGGGTTGAATGTTGCTTACATCACACTGCAACATTTACAAAGGACCACCTTTCATTAAATTTCACGATGAAAAAAGCATCCTGTATGGTTAATTCTTGCTTATTCAGGTTAAGAGCAAAACAAAACCAGTTGTACAAAACTTAAAGAGATTAATTCAGTTAATGTAATAGCTAAAAGATAATATTGCCATTAATTTGCTTTTAAAGACTTACTAAATCTAATATTAATACAATCTGAAAATAGGAGGTGTCTCTTACCATTCCACCATATATGGGTATTTCTCTTCAATGGTGAGAGCCGGATCAATTTCAATGGCATAGTAAGTTTCTTTCAGCTGAAATAACTGAAGGGGGAAAAAAACTCATCAGATGTTTAATGTATTTCATGAAATACATTGGGGTTTGGTCTAAGCAATCAAAAGAACACTCTTGTCAGGGAATAATGACAAATGTCTGTACAACAAACCAAATGCTTGTAGGTTTTTTGTTTACCTTTTTCCGACATTCATCTGTGATGATTTTAGAGTTATCAATGATGTCTGGGAAAGGGGTGAAAAAAAAGACAGTTAAACAAGATGATACATTTCTTTTACTTTGCTCTACAACACTGTAAATGGCACAGATGACAATGTCTGGTGACATACCAATATGTTTCCTCAGAACCTTTCTTACCAGCAACCAGCAAAAAGTACATTTTTCTTCAAAAGTATAAAGGTGCCCTTCCCTTAATCTCTGATTTACAAGACCAGATACAAGCTTTTATATCTGTTTCTTGAGATTTAACTGTTTTCAAAATCATCCTGAGGCATCCTATATGTTTTAGAGTTCCCACTTCTTCTTTGTTCCAAAAGACTACAGCATAAGGATAAAATTGCCAAGAATTCTAAGGAGTTTACAGTCTGGTTCTTGCAGATGTCAGGACTATGATGAGTTCTTGAAAAACAAAAGTCAACCATGCCATATTTAGCCACTAACATCTGAGGGTTCAAAACTTAATGTTTTAATTGTGAATGGCAACTTATCTAATTCACACAGATTTTGATTATTATATATATATATATATATGCACATAAAAACACAGTCACTAGAATACTTTGCCAGCAGATTAGGTAACAAGTCAATATAAAATCTCATTTGGAAATAAATTGAATAGAAAATTAAAATATAGGGAAAACTAAAAGGAGCAAACAAATCAATCTGAATTAAAAAAAAAAAAGTACTCACTATGACAAGTTGGACATCTTTTTCCATTGTAGGAAAATCTACTTAATGTCATATCAAAATCTGTAATAATCTATTTAAGGAAAGAAAAAGCAAAACTGTCTTACAACATGGAGGAACAAAATAAAGAATGGCTAGAAATTCTGAACGATCAACAATAGCTGCAGCTGAGTAGCATGTGTGTCACAGAAGCCTCCCTATTCTATTGAGCCATTGTCATGGAAGCTAGCATATCCCAGAAAAGTCATGGTTTTTCTAACAAAACTGTTTTTCTCATTTCTTTGCTGAGAATAGCTTCTGAAATTACTAAGCTTCTATGCTTATGTCATTTACTTAACTAGTGTCAGGCTGAATTACAGTTGAATCAACAAGGACTATTAAAAGAGTAACATGTCTAAGTTTTGGAGATTTCTTGAAGGTTGAATTCTATTACATATATACAGTTATGCTTAAATTTTTTGGCATAGAGTAACAATCCCACAGTTGCTTTTATTCCAAACTCTTTGCAACTCTACCTGAAGTTTGGCAGCTCCACCTTTGATGAGGCCACAAATAATCTCCTCTACTCTTGCTGGATCCTTAATATGGACAGTCTTCTTCTGAAATTCTGGCATCTATAAAGAGTAAGAACAAAGACATAAATACACTTGCAGAGGAAAACCTCCTAGGTAATAGCTGCTGTCCATCAGGCTGGAAGCTCTGCATCTACAAACAGTTTCATGTGACATCAAGACATGGTCAGGACAGAAAGACAAGAGTAAGAAGAAGCAGGAAATACTCTGGATGTATTAATCAATGACTGCATACTGTTCTGTTTGCTTACAACATCTGTTTTCATTTCAATGCCTAATATCACTTTATTCAATAAACTGACACTCAGAAAAGGTCATTATAGTTGTAGGAAAAAAGAGAGATATGTAGGAACAGGACATATAGGATCATCTTGTGATTCAGATATTTCACTAGGAGATGGTAAATCTTAAAACTAACTCTCTTTGCAAATAATATGCCATCAAAGTATCAGAGATAAAGAAGACATCTATTGTTTCCTTGAGAATGCTGAATTATTGTCTACTGGGTATTTCAATACAACAAGGCTGTGCAGCAATCCCTCCTCCCTAGCCAGTCCATCAATTGCTACCATTACCTATTTCACTGCACACTTTTGAAATAACATAATATCACTCTATACATTCCTTTTGGATGAAGTATATTTCTTGAATGTTTTGATAAATGAGGGATTTGATATAAAACAAGAAAAAACCCCCTAAAACCCAAAAACCCCCATTCTTTCCCAAACAATTCCCCAAGCCTTTGTTTACTCTAAGAGTTTATCTTTAAACTTGTAGAACGGTACAAGAACTATTTATTTACAGGAATTTCCCAATGTAGCAGGTATTTATTTCCTTTATAATCATGTATGGACCCATTCTAAAGAAAAGAGTCTGCAATCTGTCTAAATGGGCATTTATGAGTAGTAAACTTTATTTTCTATTTATAAAACTCCAGAGATGCTAAAGTGTTAGGAATTACATTTTTAACATTCTGATCCTTCAACCTTCATTTTCTTATAGCTAGCATGTAATCAGTGCTGCAATGAGCTAATTAAAATAAAAGGTGGTGGTGGGGGGAAGATTCTATTTCAGGAAGTTTCTGGACCCAGAGTTCTGGTATCACCAATTGTCAGTAAGTCATGCAGAACTGTTTCTTCCAGCTCTTGATGCCAGTAAGTCTTTTCTTCATTAGTAACAGCCAACTTGCAGTCAAATTGCAATTTGGTTATCACATAAGAAACAGGTGCCGTTTTAAGGTATGCAAATGTATGTTTTTGTAAGGGAAAAGACACTTGTGTGCCAGACACAAGAGGGATCCGAACATACCTTGAAATATCAGCTCTAGTCCACTCTGTTCTCAGGTGGGAGCAAAACATTGCAGCTACATCCTTATCAGATGAGCAGAGGCTCATCTAACTCTTTGTTCAAAACCCCCACTCACATATTCCTCACATTCCTCAACTACCTGTGTGTTTGGAAAAGTTTGCTTAATGTCTAATCTTCCTTACTGTAATTTCAAGTCATTCAACTTGGAGAAAAGCGTTCTTTTTCTCAGATGCTCACTGGATAAATTTTCCTTTCTGCCTGAAAGGAAAACCCCAGTGTTCTTCAATCTTCTTTTGCAGAACACAATTTTCTAAATCTCTGATAATTCTTGATGTTGCCTTGGCCCACCCAGTTGAACCACATTGTTTTCCAACACAGCATCCATGACTGTGGGTAAAACCTTTCTGCTCTGCTCTGACAAGGCCTTGGCTGAAGGGCCACTTTGGCCTTGTCTTCAGGTAGCATCTTTGCATGTACATTAAAACACATGCCCTGTCCTAGCAGTAATATGGTGAGAATGACTCAAATTCAGTTGGAAATGACCAAATATTCTCCAAAATGACTCCTAGAAAGAAATGGGCATTTGTGCAAAATGTTAAATTTTACATTTAATCATTCTGGATTGTATCTTTTCTTCCATGTCAGTGCTCCTATCTTTCGGTAAAACAAATAATTTTAAATCCACCCTGTGCTTACTGCTACTTTCTGGCTGATGTCCTCAAAGACACTGCTGAAAACCGAAAACAGAAATCCTTCTAGAACCCTAATCATGAGTCTCTGATAAATTTCCAAGTTTTTCTGCCCATTCAAAAAAGTTTCCACAGTACCTTCCACTAAACCACAGTACCTTCTCAAAAATTCTGTCCTGAACAGGGTATTCACTACTTCTTTGCTTTATAAATCTCATAAAGAAACAAACTCTATTAATTTCACTTTGATTGGAAGAATTAAGGTTTTCCTTTCTGATCTTTTGGCAAAGACATTTTCTGTAAAAGTGGTATCTCCTAAGGCAATATCCCTGAGTTCTTTGTGTTGTTGCAGTGCCTGGCTACTACTTCTTTTCGCACAGCAAAGCCACAAAAAGTACATCAGGATTGACTCCCAGCTCTCAGCTACTTCCCAGGCTGGGAGTCATTGAGAAAGCTAATGACTGTTGACAAGACATAGAATTCCTGAAAAATATCCATTAAAGGATTCACTAATCTTTAGAGATATACCTGCACAAAGCATTTCTTTATTCACAATTAGCAGCACATCTAGCCTCACAAAACAAAATATTAATAATCTGTAACTCTTTAAAGGTGCTTTATGGTTTTTCTTTTGTATGTTATATGGTGCTGGTAAACAAAAGTAAGCTTTCCACTTTTTTCTGCATAGACAATATTCTTTATAATGAAGCACAAAGCAGTTTGACTTGGTAATTTTTGTACTGTAAATTGACTAATCTAATTCCTTTAACTTTCAGCAAATTATATATGTATTTTTAGATTTGGAATGCAAAAATCAAACAGTGAAATCTAAATGCATGCTTTTTAAAGAAGTAGTTAAGCATTATTTGGTTTACTTAGATACTAAGCAACAGATTTCCTAATATAATTAACTTAAACAGATGTTGGGGTAGATGGAGAGATCAGAGGAAGGGACTGGAAAAGGAAAATTGGATTGTTTGGTACTGTTTCATTTCAGACTGAGCCCTTTCGTAAGTTTCTGAAACAACCTGAGGAAAAATCTTGGTTAACACTTTAGTAGATCATGTCAAACAAGAAATTGCTTAAGATTTTAAGTGTGATGAAAACTTCCTGCTTTGATGTTGTAAACTCATACTCAAGATCAGTTTATAAGACTAATTTATTTCTAACACACTCTTCATTTTTGCACACAAATTGGTTGAAGAGTATTTTAATTTAGGGGTGGGAGAAAGTCTTCTACAGCAAGTATAACCCAGACATTTTTATTCTCACAGACACTCTTAGAGGAAAAAACAAGTCAACATTACAGGCGTGACATCTGATAAAGCCTCAGACAAATAGGGTTAGACAAAATAGCCACTTTTTCTATCACTAGTTCCTGGTATTAATATTTGCAACTGAACATTAAGCAGCAATTCTTTTATTTATTCTTTATCATTATTATAGTAGAAGTAAATGAAACTGTCTAAGGACTGAGTAAATGAAACTGAAACTGCAGCCACCAATTTTCTGGCAAACTGTTTCCTCCAATGTTTTACACTCCTGCCCAGTTTAGCTGTTGTTTTGTTGTTGCATATTTGCCATTCTTCCCAGTTGAAAGAAAAAACCAGATTCTAGTTAGAAAGAGCTGATAAGACAGATGAAAGAGTTAAGGGCGAAAAGTTCAGTCAATTTGATAAAATTAGTGTTTCTATTTACTGTTTAAGAAAATTCTAGCAGTCAATTCAGTGAGCACACATAAACCTCCCAAAATTCTGATGCACCAGTTGACTGGGATGAGCACAGATAAAGAAGCAGCCAACCAAAAATCTCCACAGCACTTAACCAAGTCAAGACAGCTTTTCAGAACCAGGAGCTTCTACATACAGAGCTAAAACTACATAAGCACAGGAAAAGCAATTCAAAATTCATTGTGACATCTGAAAGTACATCATGTTAAATCACTTAAGTGCCCCTATTTATTCTGTCATATTATAAAAGTGTGAGAAGAGTTTTGCTTTCTTACCAAGAGCATCTATATGCTAATGAATAGCTCAGAGGCTCCTGTGTCTTAAAACATATGTATGGCAACTCCGAAAGGTAATTTGTGGTTGGCATATACACTGGCCACAAATACACTTTAGTTTCTGGTCTCTGACATTTTTAGGAGCCTCTGAGAGAAGGAAGAACCAAACTGAAAAAGATTATTTTAAAGGTTGAGCTTAGTTGGATTTATGAAAAAGAAAACAATTATCTGCTTGTTTGTGATAGCAGGTAACTGGAATAAGGATGTAGGAAATGATTTTGTAGCTAGGAATGTTATAGTCATACCTTGAGGAATGAACAGTAATGGATTCACGCAGGTTTGGAAATCCCCCAGTCCTACAAACCACAGAATGGGTCATTTACCACAAGGATAGTTCTGAAAATTACAAATCTATTTAGTACATGAGACATGCATCTGTGTAGCTGGGTTAAGTAAAGAGAAGTATCTGCCATATTGAATTCTAGTTTTGAAATGAAGTTTCTTATATACAACTGGATAACAGAAGTGCAAAAGAACTGCTTTTATGTATCCAGGTGCTGCTTAGTACCTAAGTTGTCTTCTTAGTATGTGAGGCAGCGTGTATCTAAGTGCATGCTGTGTCAGTTTGATTATAAAACAGGAGCTGGTGATAAGACCTGTCATTCATTTTAGTGATCTAAGTGAATTTACAGCTGCCATCATAGACATTTCCAATTAGGTATCCCAGGAAATTAAAAACTGATTGTGTCCACAAGGAGTAATGTCATATTCTGGAGCTAGGATTATACTGAATTCTTCAATCTACTGTGTTGGAGGTACAGCAGTTGCTTTCCTCCCCCTACCCAGTAAAACAAGTCCTGATGATTTACACAAAAATTAAAAAAAATCTAATAAAAACTCCATATAAAGGACAACTGAGTGACCTTTTGTGTTCACTGTCAGTAATTTTAAGTAGGGAAGGACGAGTTGATGAATTACTTGCTATCTTAACTACATAGAGATATGGCTTATTTCACAACCAACTCTAGACACAGAGCCTAAAATATTACAAGTACTAACTCAATCTGTAGGAGGTTGTAAGTCTGCTAAGTAATGCTCTGACGAAGGACATAAAAAAATGGTGCAGAGTATTTTTATACTGATACCCTGTAAGCCTACACTACTTGGCAAATACCAAGTTTTCTTATTTTATAAAGACTCATCTAGTATGGAAGCCTCCCAAAAATCAAATCGTTGCTAAGAAAACACCCTGGATTATAAGTGGAAAAAATTTTTAGAGAACTTCTCTATAAATTTCAGTGATTGACAGAGTACTTTGTTAGATTTCAGTAATTCTGAATCACAGTAAGAACTGCTCTCACACTTGTAAATGTATCAAAATATTCCACAAAATTTCAGATTACCATAATGTCATGAAAAGGACAGGGTAACAAATAAGATCGAAATAAAGATCTAGCTGTAATGCTATTGACAGGATGTGAATTTCAAGTATAACACAATTTCTATTTTCCTTCTTTTTTGGTAAACCTGCCTTAGACTAGACTAGGTTTCAAACCTGTCATCTTTTGATATAGAGAACACACAAGGGTGGGCTGGCAGGGAGAGAGAGCTATCCATGTTATTTCTGAGCAAGGCAAACAGAAATCAAAGTGATAAATTGGTTAGGGGAAAATTATTTGTAAATTTGATTCTAATCTATGTTGGCAGCTTCCAGGTACAAGAGTATAAACCAAGACTAAACGACATTTATTTTGGGAATTGCAGATGCCCAGTTTCAAAGTCTTACACTAGCTATCACATATATTCACTTATGAACATGTACCAAAAAAGGCAGAGCATGGCAGCAGTGACAGCTGTTAAATTTGATACCCAGAAGCTACAGAAAACTGGTTTTGGTGTTCTTGGTGGAAGAAAGAAACAGTTTGGTAAAAATACAAAGAAATAGTGTACATTCCTTAATTTACATGTTATTTTCCAATAATTTTTTTTTCTTTCTATTAATACAGAACATGACTTGCTCTAGAAAACAAAGCTTAAAAAACTTCTGAAAGCATGCAAGCTTCTCTATGTAATTTCTGCTGCTTGCAACATTTGAATTGCAAGAAACCGGGGAGCTATAACAAAATCTACAGAATGACACTGTGAGAATATTTTCCTCCAAACGCTTATGCTCATGTATGAAGCAAGACTGCCTATAATTCAGACAATTTGAATTCTGGCCCATGAGTGCAACAGAGGTCCCTCTTAGCTGCTCCAGCTGTTAGTAGGCTTATATTTTAGACAGGAACATCAAAAGCTACTGGACATGAGTGTAATCACATCAATCACTCCATTATGTGCAGGTAGTCAGGAGAACTTCACTAGTAATTGTGCACTCTTCTAGCATAATCTGAGCTCAGGACAGAGACTCACTAATTTATAATTCCCAAAACCATAATACATGTTATATTCAGATGATGCAAACTCAAATATGGTAAGAAATCCTTAGTAACTAGTAATTACCAAATTACTATTTTAGTAGTTCTGCCAAGAAATAGCCTTAGGACTACTTAGTTAAAAAGTAGTTATTATGGGAATGAAACAACAGAACACTAAGTATCTTCACAGTTACTTGATAACATGCTGTAAAACTAGATACCCAGCACAGGTTATATGAAATAACTGAAAATGGGTTCACTGCTTAAGGTATTTTAAGACATGGCATAGGATGCACACTAAAAATAATTTTTCCTGGTTTACGGTGTTTATTTATTTACATATTTTTATACTTAATGTGCTGGATTCTGATACTGAATTTGGGAAAAAAAACCCTTATAAAAATCTGGAGAGAGCGCTTTCACAGAAAACACGACAACAGCATTTCCTCTTGTGTTTTTAAAGGAGAGTACCTGTGCGTTGAGCTTAGGGCACTCCTGATTCTTCTGTCCTTGATTTTGTCCTACTGCAACAGCATAGGTGGCAAGCAGAGTCCAGAGATGCAGGGCTTGCATGCAGGCTGCCAACAAAAACCAACCAAATCCTTTTAAGAATTGGTCTGCTATATTATGTGGTCTTTCTATTCCTGCTGCATAAAATAAAAGCCAACATGCATGGTACATAGTGACATCACTGTGAAAATACCAAGACTCCAGAACAGTCTGATACATAGTTAGAAGTAGAGGAACATTTAAGCTATTCAATGAAAACCACTAAGTATATTTATTCCTTTGATGCTGATGCTCATTCTGTGCTATCATATTTTTAATTTAAAAATACAGTTTTTTAGGTTTTTTCACAGTCACAATTAACAACTGGAAGTAAGCCCTCAGCTCATAACCTTGGCTTAAAAACACAGGCAAGAAGACAGTCAATACTGCTGACAGAAGCTGTGCACACTTACCAGAGGGTTTTGCAGGAGCAGCTGCAGAAGCAAAAGAAAATTCCTCTTGCTTGAGACACACTAATATAGCAGCCCAGGGTGCAGTTGAGGGCGTTTCCAAATACAGCCTGACTAATCCCCGTGCAAAACCCCAGGGTCCTGTGACGCACGTCAGCACGGCACAGCAGTTTGTTATGCTCAGCAGTACAGCCCGACGGGCTTGCAGATCATCAGCTGGTGCACCAACAGCAAAACCTCTGACCTTCACTGAATGAACAGCTTTCATGGATGCAGCAGGCAAATTTGGGCTGCTCTAACAGAGGAAGGCAGCTGTTGTCCAAAACAGAAGTTTATTATTTTGTTATTTTTTAGTCCTTTTACAAAATCTTTCCAAGTATTTTAGGATTTCCTGTTGCACAGTGCCACAAATTTCTTAGAGCCTCGTTGACACGGTTTCAAAAATGTTTACTAGGCAGCACACATTTATTCATGTAGAAGGAGCAAATGAATTAATGAATCTTTGTTTTGGCTGTAATTATCTGTGTGATACTGAAACAGGAAATCAAGGAGCCTTCTTTGTCAGGATTTTTGAGAGCCAAGGCAACTCCACATAGTTTTAGAAGTTTGTCATTAGGCATGCTGCCTGATCAAAGACCATAACTAGGTGACAGAAGATGGATTAAAAAGAAATGTTTTTTAGAGTGAGGGGATGAAAGACCTATGGTCTAATTGTATTTTACATTTTGAAGTTGTGTAAATGTTAGTGTCACACAAAGCTGACTATTGCTATGGCAGCAGTGCAAGCTTCTCTATTACTACCATAACTCATGTTCAACCTCAGGTTTATGATCCCCGTTTCAGGATGCCAGGACTAACCACCAACATCAGGCCAATTCATACATGGCCACTAATGTGACCAGGGTAATTGTCACAGCTGAAGCAAGGGCAGGTTACAAGTGTAGCATGTACAAAACCCGTAACGCTATAAAAAAAACCCAACAATAGCAGGGCTCTAGAAATTCATTAGTTATGAAGATATCTGGTGTGCTTTCTACACTAAAAAAAACAAACAAAACAACAGACTTTCTGAATGATACAGTAGATCCATATGTTTTGTGTCTGCATTCCAACTGTAGGCTACTATGTAGTCTATCAGGATTCCTCAGTGTATCTGACCTACATGTGCACTTTCATTTTGTTTTCAGAGGTGTTCTCTGTTTTGAGCCAACAAAACAACTGAATACTTGAGCTAATACAAAACATGCAACTTTACTCAACACTTATCCTCTTAGAATTGATCAAGATCTCCTGAAATGTACATGTTAAAGTCAGCTGTATCCTGAAGCAGTGAAAGAGTTTGAAAGGTATGTTCAAAATATAACATAATCCCTGCTATGACTGTATACAGTAAATTGAACTTACCTGGCATTGGTATTGCCAGGATTCATAGCTAGCACTACACTACTTGTTATAGCATTTGTACACTGTTGTAACAGGTAACATTCAGAGAATTTTACCCTTCATGGTATTTTAATATGGGCAGCATGCTTTTCATTAATATTTTTATAATCATACTTGGGGAACATATGTATAGTGCAGTGTCTTGAATAAATATGAATTATTTGCACAAAAAAAAAGGATTTTATGTCCCTGCTAGATTTCCAATGTTAAGAAAATGTTACAAACAATGAGGTAAAATACTATTGCTAGATGATTCATGTAGTTCAGGTAAGACATCACTTGATACATTCAGTTTGCAAAGAACCTGCCTTTGAGCTGTCAAGAATCTAAAGAAAGCTAGTTTCCCTTTCAGAAAGCTGGGGAAACAAAAACAAGATGGTTTTAAAAAAAATTATTTTATTAATTAAAAAAAAAATAGTTACAGAAATTAAGTCCAGCTCTTACAGACTGTTTTTGGTATACCAGACTAATTAGAAAGCATTCTAAATGAACTATTACAGCCTCAGTGAAAGCCCTAGAAAATGGCGTGAGCAAAATTTCTGTAAACATTAATACAGCCAACACCTAATTCTTAGAAAAACATCTACACTATCTTTATCAACAGTGTACTTTCACTCTAATGAAAATGCCATACATGGAACTTCTCAGCTACAAAACCAGACTGTCTTTGCAACTCCAAGAAATCTTTGTGTACAACACTTTAATTACCACAGCTCCTACTAACCACATTCTATTACTGCTGATTTGAGCCTGCTGAGCATTTTGTTTACAGTGTTTAATGTCTGGTAAAAGAGGAGTTAAAATGAACACTGAACACTGATTTTTTCACAGAGAGAGAAATAAACTCCAGCATGACATTTCTACTCTCGAAATAAGGAAGGACATTTCAATATATTTCAAGAACCACAAACTGAAGACGTGTAGTTATTTCAACATATAGATTCTATTTTAACATTTTCTCTTTGGCTGAGGGCCATATCTTGACTACAGAATATTCTATGCAGAAAAAGAGAGAGAGGAAAAAAAGAACAACACTGAAAACACTAGATGATTTATAATTTATATAAGACTGGGAAAAGGTTCAACTTTATATGCTCGTGTGTTTGGTGAACTTGGTTTGTAGAGGATGCTCTTGAATATGAAGCACTGCAAGTTTTAGTCTAAAGTAAAGAAAAGCTGGTTCTACCAGTCCTTCCACACCCGTGACCTAGGTTGCATCCATTTGTGGAAAGAATTAGCACAGGTATATTGCCTAAGCAAGTAAGCTGAGCTTTTTCTTTAACTAATAAATGGAATACTTCAACTAAACTGACATAAACTTTTAAAGATCAAGAAAGAGATCATACCTTTTTAGAATATTTCCTACAATATTTAGAGGTTACTGAATTCTGTGTAAGGTGATTGAATCTTTGGTGTAAACATCAGCTAGTGTCTTCTCATGAGCTTACTAGCTTTTATTCCTGTTTAGTGACCCTACCACAACTGAACAATTTTTGCATATATCCCTATATATTTAGTATGTTGCTTGACTTTACTTGGGCAATACCTTGCTTTATTGTAGGGATCAATTTTAAACATTAAAGAACTGTATTTGTTGCCTAATTTTGCTTTTGTACTAAGTTTACTTAGTACATATTTTCCAAAACAGCCTACTTGATATAACCTCATGACACAGGGAAAGGTACCTGAACCTTGGTACTCAAGTACCAACACCAAGCAGAAGAAAGGAACCAACACAATCCTACTGTACTCAAAGATGATTATATTCATGCCCTAGTGCATTGAGTTAATGAGCAGCATAATGGCTCCAGGAATAGCTTTTTATATCTGTGACGATTACAAGGAAAGTAAGATCAATGGTCAGTTTGATGAAGCCAGGGTACATAAAGGTTTAGAAGGTTGCTTGCAGGAACTTTGGATACCACTTATCTTTGCAGCACAGGTTTGGTGTAAAAACCCATGGCAGCCATATTTACAGTTGGTATGATGCAAAGAACTATGATTTGTACATGAAAGTGTGTGTCTGTCACAGAGATCACTTGGGAGGAGTGTAAGCAATTCCAAAAAGAAAGAGCTTGAACAGCACGTTATGAAAAAGTGCTAAGAACATATTAAAGACTGAATTCAACAAATTGTGATAAATCCAGAGATGGCACATGCTAAGTAGGTGAGGCTCTAAACCTGAATGGTATCACAAGACCTACTTGTGATATTAAAGTCTCTATATCTTTTAACAGAGATTTTCTTGATCTGATCAGAGATCCAGGTTTCTTTACAGTTGATGGGAAAACTGGTGATCATCTAATAGTTGATCATTTATGGCTGTACTGAACACAAATCTTAATGTCAACACACACACTAAAACAAGTCCTTTAAGCATTTCTTCTTCTGTTTAATACATTTCTCTGATGATAGAATAAAAGATATTGCAGCATCATTGTCCCTTATGCAGCTTCTTCTTGTGCTTACAAAATCATTCTAAAAGAAGAGATTTCTGTTGGTGATAGATCAACAGATATTTTGGCTCTTACAAGAAAATGAAGAACTAATAATAACTGGGGTCTACATTTCCAGTATTTCCTGTGATCCTGTCAATTATGAGTTTCGGCAAGAACTTAGTCTGAGAGAATAAAGGAGGTACAAAACATTCAGAACAGTTCTGGGGTGAATGAATGCAGCTCAGGATAGGCATTTTTTTCTCTGATTGTATATTAGGGGAATCACCTAATCTTTGTGCCTAGCTGCCATTCCCTCATTGTGCAGAGATTTAACCTCTATAACTGGCAGGCTAAAAGAAAAGGCATGTATTATTTAGTTATCAGTAAGTATCTCAAAATGATGAAGAGATCTTCAGACATTTCTAATGATAATCTTGGAAATACCACAACTCCCTAGCCAAATTTAAACTGATGGGTTTTTTAATCATCATTGCTTCTCTCTTGCCCTTGTGAACAAAAAGAATATAAAAATATTCTAAATGTAAGCAAGTTCAGATCAATACAATTAATCACATTACACTTAATTTTTAAAAATAGCTTCTAAAGCACCAGGATTGAAAGAAGAATTCAAGGTTGTAACACCATTCATTGCTTGGCAGAAGAATATGGAGGATTTTTTCTTGGCCTTCAGACACACATTTCACTATTCTTAACAGAGCTTTTAGGATAAAATCTTTA